TTTTTTAATAATATTTTGTCAATATTTTTTATATTATATTATTTTATTTTAATTCAATAAAAAAAATATAATAATATGAATACAACACAATATTACTTAAAATTAAGTAAAAAATTTAATTATATTAACACATAACATTTTAAATCTTATTTTTAAAAAGACTCTTTAAATTTAAAGAATGAAATTTTTATAATATTGGTAGAAGTCTCAATAGCATATATAGTAATATTTAAATATATTTTAGTAATAAAGTACTTAAAGCAAGTCTAATCCAAATTCTATCTAAAAATTATATATATATATATATATATATATATATATATATATAATTGAGATTCTATTAGTATTGATATCTTAGTAATATAATATTATTTTAAAAATTTATAAAATCTATTTTAAATTTAAAATTATTAGATTTTATTTTCAAATTCTATATTTGTTATAATTATAATATCCAAAAGGAAGCATTAAATAGTACAAGCATAAACCAATAATTTAAGATGTATCAACATGAATAGAATCTCTAAGGTTTGTTGTTGTGATTAGATAGTGGTTTAAAGAAACTTGTTAAGGACATGAATGAAGACAAAGCTATGAAAAGATAATACACTCTTGTATCACTAATAGAAAGAAAATGTATAATATTAGAGGTAGGTATAAAATTAAAAGAAATTAAAATAGTCATTGCTAATTATTAAGAATCTATAGAGTCTTAAAGCAAGTCTAAACTATAAAAAAAAGTGTTGACAATAATAAGAATAGCCTTAGTCTTGCTTCCATATATATTAGATACCAAGAAGATATTGTCAAAGCTTCTTAGTCATTGTGAGGCTTGTAGCTTAAGTGGTAAGTTATAATTTGCTTCTAATGCAACTTCTCAAAAATAAGAATCTTATAAAATAAGTTTCAATAGCCAAGTGACATATCTATAAAAATCTAAATACCTAATCTAACATCTAAGAAAATTCTTTGAAGCTTTTTATAGGATATATTACTTACTTGACATATTTTTATCTATTTCTATTTATTTAATTAATATAAGCATTTGTTATTTAACTTTGCAATCCATTTTTTATTATAATAAAATCTTTTTTAAAATTTTTTTTGCTAAATAAATAGATTATTTGATGTCTTTAAAATAATAAAAAAAAAAAATTTATTATTCAATGATTATAAATTTATTTTATAGAATAAAACATAAAAAATAGTAATTATATGAATATTAATTGAGAAATTTTCTTGTTAGAAAGAAAAATATTAATTTATTTGGTTTTGATTATATTTATATCTATCTATTATACTACCAAATATATATTTTTAATATTATTTTAAAGAAATAAATTTTTTGTAAATATTTCACATTGTAGTTTAGACATACATAAGCTATAACACATAACAGAAAAAATAAGTCATTTAATTGGATTTTAAATGCACATTGACCTAATCTGTCAAAATACAAAAATACTTACAATCATTGCTTCTACTTTAAATCAAAATTTTTTTTCTTTTTTTAAAGTCTCTTGAATAAAAATTAAATCCTTAAGTAGATAATTATAATTTTTTCAAATTCACCTAATTTTATATAATTTTTTAAAATATCAAATAATTTTAATAAATATATATATTAAAATAATTATTAATTAAATTCAATAGACTTTAAATAATTTTATGAGATTTTTAATGTATATATTTTAGATAATAATAGATATGTATATTATTGAAAAAAAAATATTAAATGATTTTAAAATCTTGTAAAATTTATATTTCTTTATATATATATATATATATATGAAATACATATAAAATATTTCTATCAAAAATAATTTCTTTCACATGAAAAATTTACATATTAAAAAATATTGACTAGTTAAAAAAAACATAATAATTTAAAGCATTCTATATTATACTTCAATTTATTAATGTATGATATTTCAAAATATATTAAAGATATTTTCCATTGTTTACTTTAATAAAAATATAATATATTAATAAGCACATAAATGTGCATTCTTTTAAGATATAAAGTATTAGTTTTTTACTAATTTTTATTAAAATGTCAAAATTTGGATTATTTATAGAATGATTGTTTAGAAATTAATTTTTGATATTTACTATTTTAAATACTATTAAATTTAGATTTTTTTTCAAAGAAAATATATTGTAGCATTCTTTACATTAAATTAATTTATTTTAAAAAAAATTAAAAGACTATACTTTTAAGATTTAAATTAAAAATTACTTATTATTTAATTTTTTAATACTATTTTAATTAATTTTAAAATAATATATGTGTTTTTTTCTCAATTAACTTTTTCATATAAGATATAGTTCGTCTTTCAATCTTACTAAAATTTGAAATATTTGTTTCTTTTAATTTTTTATATGAATTTAAAATAACATGTAACAACTACTTATCTCTAGTTTTATCTTGTAAGAAATAAAACTACAAAATCATTACATACCAAATCTTTAAAATATGATTGCATTTTATATTTTCATAAATATTTGAATAAGTGTCAATTTTTTGTTAATTGTATATTATTTCTAGTATAAAAAAGTTTTATATTATATTTAAGAACTATCTTTTTGATAAAATTGTATTATGTTTATTATAGAAACTACATGTTTATTACATTAATCTTATTGTAGTTTTTAGAATATATGATTAAATTGAATATATATATATGCAATTAGCTTCCATTATAGTCAATCTCTTAGGAATAGAGAAATTGTTGATAATATAGTGTAATCTACTATATAGTGTTGACTATATAATATAGTATAGTGTAGGTTGTGTAGATCAAGACCAGCAAAATAAATCGACTATAATCGAAGTTGAGTTTAATAAGGTTGACTATAAAAAAGATTGATGATATATATATATATATATATATATATATATACTTAAAAATTAAAATCATTTAAAAAATATGTATATCAATAAAATAATTTACTACATAAGAAATTAATAAATAAAATATTCTTTCAATATATATAAATTTATTTTTTTATATATGATTGTAGAATGTTAATTATAAAACCATGTTTTTGTATCCCAGTTTTTTGCAATGGAAAGAATATATAAAGTAAATATTTAAACAATAGATATTTTATACATTCTCAAATTTACTAAGTCATATAAGAAAATTTTGTTGTATTCAACAAAATACAAGCTTTCTTGTTGTGCTATTTTTTGTTATGCTATTTTTTTAGTTGTAAATGTGCTTTTCTATTACCGTCTTTAACTATTTGCAGAATACTAGCCACAAATCAAACACTGAATTTTGTAGTTAACTGATATATTTCAAATTGAAATTCTTTTACACAACGAATGCAATGAGTTTGATCTTCTTGCTCTTGCTCTCACAAGCCAACTCCAGGCTACACAAGGTTCCTTTCCAACTTTGTAGTTTGACAACCTCCATTCATGAATTTCCATTTTTATTACAAATTAAGTCACTATGAAGTCTAAGGACCTAGGTCTCAAGAAATCCTTTGGTGGCTAGAATTTGACCACTGCTACCCACCAACAATGTTTGCTTTTAAGTATGCAAAACAACGAGATTTGAGTATTCAGCGTGACCTTCAAGGCTGAATCAGAAATGCAAATTTATCGTCAGCTTCAGTAACGTGGGTCTTGCAAATCTAAATGCTGTTGTGGTTTGCAAACAGAAAATCAGCAAATCGTCTAGTTTCAGTTTCAAATCTGAACAATCAAACGTTGTGTTCTAATTTTGAAACACCAGAGGAATATCTGTGATAAGATTTGTGATAACTGATGAGGTTTGTGTGTTTTGGAACATTCCCTGGACGTCGAAGGATCTGATTTTGATGAGTTCCTGCGAGCAAAGACTTCGTGCTATGCCGTTTTCTACAGCTTCAACTCCATGGTTGAGTGTAACCACCCCCACAAAGAGAATTTGCAGGAAAATGGAGAGAGGACTTCATCAAGAGCCCTATCATTTGTCAACGCATGCGTTAGAAACAAAACGCAAATCTGAGGATCAGGACGGATTCGCATCTTAAGGCACCCAATGGTTGCACGACAAGTTCCACCGAAAGCGTCGGCTATTGCCTCTGCTCTCCTTGTCAACAATCTGTTGCAAGCGACACATGGAGGTTTTTAGTATATCAGTTTTTTCTTCTTCATGTGACGTGAACCATTGTCCATTGTGGTACCAGTACTTTTTTGATGTGGAAATTTCCCAGGTAGTACCTTCTAAGATACTCTTGTGAAATAATTTACACCTGAGATGGGTCCGAAATGAGCTGTAACTGCTGTTTCATTACTGTCTGGAGCTACATTGGCAACGATGCCAAGCGAATGGCCAAATTCACTTTTCATGCCACCATTACTGACGTGATTTGGGCTACGCTCTAGATTGTGTGCTCAGAGAAATCGGTGTAATCCTAGAAATATCATATGTTGCAGCAGATACACGGAGAAATTTTAGCCTCGCACTCTCGTGTGCCCTAATCAGGATACGTAGCTCACGACAGCTTAGAAACTAAACCAAAACAGAGGAAGGATCATGTTAAATCGCTACAGAATGACATGCAAGAAGCAACTTTTGAGCTTTTGAAAGCGCTGAAATACCCAACACAAATATGACTATTCCATCCATTGTGATGAGTTCTCACAGCAGCATGGGTACCATTGGAATTGCAGAAAGTGATTAGAAAGGAAGACCTTGCCAGGTCCTGCTGTGGAAAGCAATGCATGGGCGACGACCACTACAATCTGTGGGGCAGCCCAAGCACAGACTGACATCAGAGCTGGTGAACAAATGGCGATGACATCAAGGCTGGACAGTACACCCTGCAGCGATCAGTTCTGACAGAAATCTTCCAGAACACTTTGCACTGCACCTCTCATGGACGCGATGGGTTTTTACCCCTCCCACGCATTCAATGTGAGCAGTGCATCCAAAAGAATCAGCGTAAAACCATACAGATGCAGAGCAAACATCCAAGAAATGCAACGCCTTCAGGGCCCCCACTGTGAATAATCGGTTATCCGTGGTACTCTGGACGTTGCCAGAGATGTATAGAGAATGGCCTTCGTTTTACATGCCGAAGCTTGAGAATTCAGTTAGCTTCTCGTATTCGATCGAAACACTACGAATGTTGCATAGTTCTACAAAATTAGGAATGTGCTTATCGAATGCTCACTCTGAGCAGCAGAGCTTCATGACCTCACTTGTGCATCCTTCACCAATAATTACACCAGGCAAGTAGAGAGCCTGAGAACTTTCCATCAAAACGATCGAAGGTGAGATTTTTCGGGTGTCTATCGTCATTATCATCAACTACATTATTTCTCTCCAACGTCTTCTGCATCAACTCTCCCATTCTTGCTCCCATGGCCGCCGAATTTAGACAAACTCTTGCCAAATTTGCGCCAGTACAAGCTGGATTGGTATACCGGCTGGTGGTGGCTGGGTAAAGCGCTGTTTTCATGGTGAACCTCAAGGTAAGAAGCCGTCTCCATCTCTATTTGGGCGATGCGTACCGCCCCAAGCAGCTTCTCGGGCAACTCCTCGTCGCTCTGGGCCTCGATAAGGAAGGCCATGTCAACGGACACGGTCGTAACGTAACCCAGAGCCAAATGCAAGATCGCATTCGCTACAGTGGAGGAGCCGATATCTACGTCGATTTCCAGGTAGTTGTGTCCTCTCATGTACCGGCATGTGAGAGCTCTGCCCAACAGGCATGCGGCATGATTCCCTACTGCCGTTTTGACGATCCATGGGCCCTTCACAATCCGATTGATTAGCTTGAACCTGCTGTTCCGAAACGCATCGTCTTGGTGGATGAACCGGTATAACAAGGAGCCCTCCACAATGGGCTCGTCCGTCACAAAATAGAACACGGCACTGTGGTGATCCTTACCTGGGACCTGCAAATTGATAGCCACGATGAAGGATGTTTTCCGAGCTTCTCCGCTCGCCTTCTCAAACGCTTGCATCACCCTGTTACCAGGATGGGCCAGCACGTGGTCCAGCTTTCCGTTGGAGCGCAACCAATCCACGCCCAAGGGTTCCAGCAGCGCTTCCGAGCACGGCGTTTTCAACTTCTTCTGAAAATAATTCAGCCCGCGCACCATGAACAAACTTGCCTGGGGCGACGCCCATCCGTGCTCTCCATCCTCAAGCTCCACATTCCGCAACGATCCCCCTTCCAGCACCTCCTTCACCCAGTCTTCCTCTCTCACATCCTTTTTCGACGCTCCACGCTCCATATTCTCCTTCGTCAACACCTCCTCCCGCACTGGAACAACCGCGTGCATCCTCTGACACCCTCCACTCCCTCTCATACTGTTTCACTGTCCAATTTCCGCCAATTGCCCAAATCGCCCATATCATCAACAACTCCTCTCCTTCCTCCTTCCTCCGCCTCTTCCTCCTCAACAATACTAATCCCCCAACGTCTCTAAAAAGACTAAAACCATTTACCCAAACCACCAACACGACTCACCTTAAGATCACCGCACGAACGCGTACAACAACAAACTACAACACCCCTGGCACAGAATACCAAATAATAATAATAATAATATCAATGACCCAGCTTTTATACGATTAAAAAAGAGGTGGAAGCGATTATATTCAGAAATCGTCCAGAGGGATGTACGTTACTGCTTTAACAATCCTGAGCGGGGAAGGAATAGCAACGATCGACAGAGATGAGGACAGTGTCCTTTTTCTTGCCGGTTTTTTCGTCCACAAATTTTTGAGCGTGGGTGAGTGTGGGGGTGTGGTCTAAGGGGACCGCCAGTGATGCTTCCTTTTAATTGCCACGCTCCCTTCTGATTCTGTCCCTCACCAACCTGGCTGGTCCGATGCTTCTCTACTTAATTAGATACCTATTTTGGGGAAAACATAGTTTCAGTGGCAATTTTTCAGCCTCGGGACGCCATTGTTCGCCGCATGTGCGTCCCATGCAGTCGAAACAAGCTGCCATTCCCCTTCCACACTCCCTCGAGGAACCACCCTGGCCCCCGAAACTCCGTCAATATCGTCATGAGCTTGTCACACTGGCTACGTGGCGCAGAATCTGCCGGATGAATGGTCGCCCCCAGTTCTCGAGATTGGCGACTCCTCGACGGACGACAGTCCGGCTCTTGAAGGGTTCTTCCCCCTCACCAGTCTCGGTTGATCGCTCCTAGGAATTGCAGAACGTACCCCCACAGACTGTGACGTTCTAGAATCTCCCCAACTTCCCCATCACTCCACAATCTTTGACAAATCCTCCTGGAAACGGAAAATGATGCCGAATCGAAGCCCAACTCTGCACCATTCAGCAATGGTCAGTCAGGCCATCAACTTCAAAATCAAAAGAGGGAACCCGAAGTAAAAAAATATGTAAAAGAATCCTACGATAATGCCCCAAGGCCGCGATGGATTATCGGAAATTTAATTATTTGCTTCGTGTCTTTCGTCTTCTTCTTCGTACTCATCCTTTTCGACCTGCCGAAAGCCACGGCAACGAGTGCCTCCAAAGTTGGTCTCCATTGCACGCGCTCTTTCCCACAAAACATTAATCCGTCACCCTACGATTCTCCCGTCGTGGACGCCACACTGCGATTGTAGTCAATCGCACAGTCAAGTATCTCGATCGCCACGCTGTAGTTCTTCTTTCATCGACGATAAAAACCTATTTCGGGAAGGGCCTGCCATCGCCACTGACAGGCTACGTCATCAAAACTATCCGCGTTACTTCAGCTTTTTCTGTAGCCGTCCATGTTGGCGTCAGGATTTGGACGGTGTGTGGGGCGTGTGTGAGAGTGTGTGTGTGTTTGACACTCTGAAGAGCTGGTGGTGGTGGTGCCTCGTCGAAGCAAAGCCCTTACGCGGACGAAAGTTAGGGTTTCGGATCTCAGCCTCGGAAATGGAGAACACCCAAATTATAATTCTCTTTCTCCAAAAACTGGGTGTGTGACGAATATGAGATTCTCAATTACATTCGACTAAATCAGTCACATGCTAGGAAATATAGTTGTGCATATCTTGTCAAGGATTTCTGCCATAACAAACTTGGTATTTGAAATTAATTGAAATTACAAGCTTTTTGATAGCCTAATAATTCAAGATGATTAGCTTGTCATTATTAGAAGAAATTGTTATGTGATCAACTCAAATGAGTACAAGGTTCCTACAAAAGTATTTTGAAATAATATAAAATCTCCAATTTTTGTGATAGATTTTGATGGTGATTTAAAAAAAAAAAAAAAAAAAAAAAAAAAACATTTAAGAAATTATTACTATTATTTTTATTTAATTATTATTATTATTATTATTTAAGAAACAATAGATAAATAAACAGTATAAAATTATACTAGTATAACAACTTTATTTTTATCTTTTTATTTTTTATAAACTTTAAAAGTTAAAATTTGCTTTTATATATAGAAAGAGGGAAAATTCTCCCAATAATCAAGCTTCTTAAAACTAATAATTTTTAATAATTAATCATAATTTAGGAATTGACTCCATTCTATAATGCATAATAGCTTCTAAGTTCTAATAATTAGTTGTTTTTTACAAACTTTTATTATTCAACAAAACTAATTAACAAAGATAAAGGAAAAAAAGAGTATTTTGGATTGTAGGATCTTGACAAAGATGCTTTTTATTATACCTTCAATGTGCTAGCATTAATGATTAATAACCTCTAATAATTAATAGATTTTTTTGTAATGAATCATATGAATTAATCATATTTTTTTACATATATAGTTTTTATAAAATTAATTATATTTTTAAAAATAAAATAAGTTTACACATTTTATGTAATAATAATAAAAAAATTATAAGAATATGAAATAGACCTATTCTATTATTAAATTTATCCATCCATTCTAACCATCATAAAATTAAAAAAATTAAAAAAAATGACTTCTAGACTTATTTCTCTATTACTTTGTAATCATTTTTTAATTTATTAAGTTGTGTATCAAGTCTTGTTAACTAATTTATTATAAACATTTCTACCCTAAGTTGTTGACAAGAATGAAGAAGGCTTCACTCTTGTCTCTATATATACTATCTAACCAAAGAGCTACATGGCAATGTTTTATAGGACTTCTAACATATATTGACTTTGCAAGACACATATCTAAACTTGCAAGACAAGTTTTTTATATGTGTGCCACATAATTAGCTTGTTCCACAAGCTATCTACACATGTGATATGTGGTTAACTTGTTGATCAAGTTTTTAAACTACTAATCAATTATAAACAAGTATAAAGTCAAAACCATGTCTTTTAAGCTTCTAGGAAGCATCTCTAGAAGATATTATGAAATTAATTTTTTTTTACATACTTCTACCTAATCATATAAGTAATTGTTGGAATAAATATGTATGTCTATGAATCTACCATAGATAACTTATTCAAATCTAAATACTATTAATTTAAAAAATAAAAAAAACTTAATATTGTGCATCAAAAAATATAGATACATATTTTTAAACTTATAAGCTAATTTTTTGTCAAATAATTCACTAAACATGCTAACAAAGATTAAGAACTTATTAAACATGTTAATAAAGATTAAAAAATTATTAAAAATGTTAACAAAGAATAAGAATAATTTAATTTAATCATTTTCATTGAATTTATAAAAATATTTATTTTATATTATTAATTTTATAAAATAAATAAATAGATAAAATAAAAAAATGATTATAAGATAATTATTAAATAACTAATTAATAACAATAAAACGGATAATGTAGTTTATAAGAATAAAGTTTTGATTATTGACTTTTAAGAAAAATCATCTAAACTTAATCTTTTTACAAACATACAAAAAAAAACCACATATATTAATAAAATTATTTTTAAAATCATATATATAATCAATTAAAATTTCTCCATTTATTCATTAAATAACAAAAAAAAAATTATTCTAAATTATAAATTCTACAATAATTTAAATTTATTAGATATGATTGATCTTTTGTAATACTAATAAAAATTTCATGCTCTTTAGCAATTCTTGTTATTGATTAGAAACTAGTTGATAACTGACTATTTATTACGTTGATACTTTAAAATAATTTCATTAAATAATTAACTAAATTAATTAAAACCATAATTATAATTAATGTTTATAATTATAAATTATTTAAATATATTGAATATTAATAAAAGATATAAAGATTTTGTTTATATTTAAAATAATAATACTTAAAATATTAAAAAACTTGGTCCTATTGATATGCATCAAAAATCAAATCTTGTATATCAATATATTTCTAAAAATTAATAGTTATTGAATTGACTACACAAGTAGCAGAATATTATGAAGATGACATCGAACTCACAACTTAACAGAACAAAAAGTATAAATTATATAAACTATGTAGTAGTGTTTTTAATTAATTTGAATAAAATATTAAGAATTCAACATTATATTTTTGTTACTTTTAGAAACAATGCAATTTTAGATTTTAAGAATGCCAATTAAAAATCTAATAGGATTTATACTTTGTACTTTTTTTTTTTTTTTACAAGTGAATCAACTGTATTTTTACTTGAGCTCATAATTATGTGGGCTTACAATTTATAAAAAATTTATAAATGTATCATAAAATAATAGTATATTTTGATGTAATATCATGTATTTTTTTAACATAATATTTTAAAGTTTGAAAATAGAAATAAAATGCCAATTTGGTGCACTCTGCTTATTTAAAATCAACATAGTGTAATGTTATTCATGCAGTTTCCTATTTATAAATGTTAATAAACATATGTGTTTTTAAATCTATACAAAATTAATAATATGTGTATAATCTGATGATAACTTAATTAACCTCCTTTGAACATGACTTTGTTCAAGATGTTTTCTGAATTTTTATTTATTTAAATTCACTTATGGCCCAACTTTGAGATTTCAAGTTTCACATGTGTTTGAGAGAGTAGTATTGATTTCAACTTCTATTTGCATATATCCCCATCATTTATCTATATATATATATATATATATATATATAAATATATCCCCATACTATCCATTCCTTAGATCTAATCCACATTCAATTCTAAGTTATTCACAGCACGAATCTGCATCCAACTAATTTCGAGTTCAATTTTCCAAACCCTCAAATTCTATTTGAAGCATTCAATCTAATTCCCACACAACAACGGCTGAACACAGTGGTCGACTAAAATTCCTGCAATGTGAAAACGGAGGTTTCTGAACCATCTCCGTAGTGTGAACGCATGGGCAGCGAAGCAAATCGGTCATCACATGGAATAAAATGCGGACACGGTCAGAGGGTTCAACAGTGACCTGGACAAAGAAAGACGAAAGAAGGCGTTAAAAGTAAGAATAAAAAGAAAAGCCAACACAGAAAGAAAAGGCAAAATGCCGGGCGAGAAAGATGCAAGGTAGTAAAAGAAAAGCATTAGTGAGTGGGACAGGCTGACTAATTGACTTCAGTTCGTCACTTCGCGTTCCACGTCGAGAAAGCCTTTTTGAGTCTTCGCCATAGCCAGCCACATCCCAAGCAAGCGAGAAAGCAAGCAGGCTGCTGAGAGTCTATTTTTTCGCGTCTACATGATCCCCATCGGGATAGAGTTCTCCTTGAACCTTCGGATTAGAACCCAGCGAGCGAGACGATCACCCAACAAGATCAATTGCGGGAGTTGTTGGCTGGATTCCGAGCTCCACTACTTGAGGAATTCGAGGTGCGGGGTTTCGGGAGCGATGGCCTACGTTGATCATACGTTTTCAATCAGGGACGACGTCAGTGGCGGGACGTTTATTGTCCACAACGGCCCTCCTGTGAAGGAAATTGCGCTCGCTGTCACGCTCCTCGCGCTCGGCACGCTCGGAATCATCTTTGGTGTTTTTATGGCGGCGTATAAAGTTGGTGGGGATACCGGTCACGGTGAGTGCGCTGCGGTTGATGCGCTTCGTGCTTTTACTCTTGGTTTGTGCGTGGTTTAGAGGTTTTGTGGTGGCGAGGATTGGCGATTTTGGGTGGGTTCTGATCGGGGGTTTCGTTTGCAAACCCTTGTCAAGTGGCAGATTCTTCTTGATGTGTCGCGTGGTGGTATCGTGATCCTGGCAACTTTGAAGAGTTGAATTGGATCACGTTTTTAGATTCAACAGCGTGGAACGAGTTGATGAGATTTGTGTACTGAGAAATGTAGCATTGAGGTTGCCAGGAGTTTTATGATACCGTAAGTAGTTTACGGTGTGCAGTTGCTCTCCTACCAAAAACTAGAGTTTGAACGTCAACCATAGGGATAGTTGGACAACCATCCAGAGAATATGTGCATTTTAGACTGTACGAATCATGGTCGTTGAGTTGAGTTTGCTGTTTGCTTTAGGTGATCAGGGCTGGTGAATTGCTCACTCTTTTCTTTGTACTCTAATTAGATTAAGTACTAGGGCATCCATGATTTGGTCTCGTGGGTTTGTTCGCCTTGTAGGTATTTCGAGATTTTTTTTGTGTTTTCGTGCCTGTGATGACAAACTTCCTCGAATAAGGGATAGTGCCGCAACACTCTCCGTCCAGAATTTAATTAATATTCTATTGGGCCTAGATAAATTGGATATTGTGATATTTGTTGTCAATAGGATTTTTTTTTGTTTAAATGATCAAAATAAGATACTCTTTTGTTCGCTTAGTTTGTGGAATTTCAAGATTGTTGTGAAGTCTTCCATTGGAATGGTTGGAATGTTAGATGATTATCTCATGGCTGGATCCAACAAATCTAAGGAATTTGAAATTTTGATTCTACCACACACATACACCACTCTGTTGATTTCTCTTTCTGATATCTCATCAGTGGCCATTTGATATGTTAGCAGGTGCAGGCATTGATAGGAACTACGGTTCTGATTCTTCTTTCCATTGTGTGTTCTGTGACAGGCATCGCTTTTGCCATCCTTGGAACACTTCTATTCCTGCCCGGGTTCTACTACACTAGGATTGCGTATTATGCTTACAAGGGTTACAAGGGCTTCTCCTTCTCCAACATCCCGGCTGTCTGAGAAGAAGTTGTAAAGTTGGGCATTTCTCGAAGTGGCTGGAATCTAGGTTGTCACTTGTGCATCTTTGGGTTTGAGACAGGATTCTATGGATAAAAAACAGGAGCAGAATGGCACCAAAGTGCGTATATGTGAACATAAATGCTTTTATATTCCAGGTGGGCGTGGTGCATTCTCAATCATCTTGGGCTTGGCTTCAAGCGCTTCATTGCCATTCACGAGAATCCAAACATATTATATACCACTGCTGCAGCATCCTCTCTTCAGTTTTCATGAAAGAAATTTGGTGTGGGCGCTCCGAAATACTAAATCCTCAAAACATTGGCTGGTCTTCTATTGTATCTATTTGTACAAATCCTTTCTACAGTCTTGGAGTAGAATAAAACGATTCAACGAGTGAGATGTCTGATACAAACACGTACATATTTGCGATTACGATGTGTTGCTTCAATCCTCTTGTAGCTTCCTAGTAGAGAGAGGCTTCTGTAGGTCTAGTTGACCTTATTATGCTTTTGAGCATGTGTTGAGTAATATCGATTGAATGATTGAATTTCCTTGCAATGTGCTACGTTGTCTTTGATTTGAATGTGTCAAAGCAAAATCAATTTTTTTAGTTTGTTGTAATATACAATTAAATTATCATTATTACTACTGTTTTTCTTTTCTTTATTCTTTTTAGAATTTCATTTCAGAGATGCTTATTACATTTTCTAGGCTGTTTATTCTTGAATCTGTTTCCAATTTTGGAACTTCGAATTTTCAATGTACTTGAGAGTATGACATTCTGATGCATTAGAAGTCGATCATCAAAACTGTAGTTGTAAGTATTTGCAATCTTAAGTAATTATTTGTATCATTGAATTGTAGTTAAACCTGTCTATTATTAATAATGTCAATCATTAGTTAACAGAGAATCTCAAACTGAAGTTAGTCAAAGTATTACGTCATGTTTTCTTTGAAATGAGGTCATGTATTTAGAATAGCATTTCCTTATAACTAATAAAATTATATCAAAACTATTTTATTACATAAAATAAACCTCAAGCTTATTTTTATTTTAAGGATAATCAGACATTTTTAGATTTTTTGGAATTGTAGTTAAATTTGAAGTAGTTTAAAATCAACATTTTTTAAAAGTTATGTATAGGTGTGCATGCTTGTGTGTGTGTGTGTATATATATATATATATACCAGTGAATATTGCCTGTCTCATTCTAAACTTCTAAATTTGCTACCAATATATTTGTTTGTGCCATTTTTGGATACTATTTAAATCATCCAAGCTTTTGCCATTAGGTTTTCAAAGTTGTCTTCCTTAGAAATTTGTTAATAATCTTGTAAGGTATTGTCTTCAAATCCTAGAGAACCTTTGTGCTTTTCAAATAGTCTTTAAAGTTTCAATAAATTATCTAAGAATCACACTTAGTTAAAGCATCTAAACAAATTATCAGGCTTGAATTCATTCATTCATATGTATTAGTAATTCAACAATGTCTTGCAAAAAAACAAAGGCAAGAAATTAAAGACCATGAAATCCACCACAATTATAGAAGCAGCATTGCTTTTCAAAGCTTCAATTAGGAGCTTCCAAGTTCTATGCTTAGTGATATCATAGTCCTACTAAAAGGGGACTGGACTCGTTCTAAGATCTAAAACTTTTCCAATCCATAGGAACATAAATCCTGTCACAACATAGGATAGAACAAACTAAAACAAAATTGAACAAAATTAAACTGAATGGAATATGAAAGGCAAAACAAAGCAAAAGTTAATAGAACAGAAAAAAACAAAATAGAAGAGAAAAATGCAAACCAAACTTTACTAAAAAAAGAGACTAAAGCCATACTTGACCAAATATCCAAATAGTCTCAGCCAGTCTTAATTATACTTTGTCCAACCATCTTAGAACTATTTAGAATGTTTTTAATGGTAGATCCATCAAAATAACCACCACTTCTAGAAGATTTTAGAAATGGGCCTACTTAGATAACCACCTTAAGTCTTTTCTAGAATGTCCCATGGTAGATCCCATATAGACCACCAACCTAGTCTTAATTCTAAAAACTTCTCAATAACAGTTTCAACTACCTATTTCTATACGTCAACAATACAAATATCTTAACTATGCCCCATTATAGTTAATCCCCTTCCATTAATGCGGAATGTCTTAGTTTTGCTCTGGATGGTATCTCCAAATTATTTCTTGATAATAGATGAGATTTTGTATAAGTTTCCATGTTGCATTGTGAATGGAATAACCTTTTCAAAGGACTTTGTATAGAAGTTGTGGATGTCTATTGCTAGAGCCAAAGTAACGATGTTCCAAAATGTTGTCTATTTCATACTCATGTTTGTCATTAATCATAACCAGTGGTGGTTGTAGTGATTGGTGTCGGTTTGGGAAGTACCTTGGTTTAGTATGAAACTCCTTGAGCTGCAAAACATGAAAGATTAGATAGATCCAAATATGTGACAAAAGCTCGAGGCAATATACAACATCAAAAATTATTGCAAAAATGCAAAAAGGTCCAAGCCACTAACGTGCCAATTTATGGACTTTGGTTGATGTAGTAAGTGGAAAGTTGGCATTGGAGAGTAACACCTAGTGACCTTCTTGGAAGGTCTTGTATTGCTGGTGGTTATCTGTATATTGCTTTTGTTGATTCTGTGCAGTAAGAAGCTAGTGTTGTGCTTCTTGTAAGGTCGTTGCAAGCTGTTGTATAAACTCTTCTATTGTGAAGTTATTGGTGTCAATGGAATGATAGACAATTGCTAGTATAAGTGGATGTTGATTAGTGTTAAAAAAAAATCGTAAATGATTGGAATTTTCTTGGATACTATTATTATGAGCAAATTCCAAGGACGTCAAATATTCACCCAAGTTATTATAGTGAACTATCACAAATATCCATAGCATATCTTCTAAGGCCCAATTTGCATGCTTCGTTTGTCCATCTATTTGAGAATAGAAGATTATGGACATGACAAGTTGTATATTCAATAGCTTGAATAAGGCCTACTATAAATTCCTTATGAAGCCTAGATCTTGATTTAAAATGGTGACATGAAGTAATCTATGGTGACAAAAGACAATGTTGAAAAAGGTCCATGCAAATGCTAAGGCATCAATATTGAAGTGCACTACAGCAAAGTTAAGTTGCTTCAAGAGTCAATCCACAAAGACAACAATTGTAGTATCATTGTGAGGCATTTGCTTTAAATATTTAATGAGATCCATAGTCATCTACTTCCAATGTGCTATAGGTAGTGGAATTAGCTATAATAGACAAAGAGATGCTATGTTGCATGGAATGGTACATTAGCATGACTCACAAGAGTACACAATAGCTTAAACATTACGATCTAAATCTACCCAAAATCATGTCCTTGAGATCTATTTTAGAATCTTCTTATGTCCTAGATGTCTAGATATTGGAATGTTGTGTCTTTCTTGAAGTATGCACATCTAGAAGATAACATCATCATGTATATAAATCCACTTCTTGAAATAGAACAAGTAATTATTGAGATGTTAATATTAATATTATACGTTGATTCTATTTAGTTGATCGATAATCATTTTAAAATAAATATTCCAATGCATAGCTTTGTTCTATTCTGCTCCTCTAATTAGGTTTGAATTGACACTACTAATGGTAGCAATTTTTACATTTTCTTCTAATTTGCCCTTCAAGTTTGGTCTATGCAATAAGATATCTGAAATAGTGTATTGTTGTCTTTACTTGTACTCAAACTGAATATAAAAGAGCTGAAATTGTTCTTTCCAATGATGTTGTGATTTCATATTTTTTAAATTCAAATCATGTAGCAAGGGCCAATGGTTAGTTTGAACAATCACTAGTTTTTCCAATAGATAGCATTTCCATAGCTTTGTGGCATGTATAATTGCTAGTTGCTATCAATTACGTACAAAATAATTGCACTTTGTCCTTCTAGACTTGCATAATTCATACGCCATAAGTTGAAGGCCTGTATCAAAGTCTTGCTAAAAGACAGTACTAATAGCAAAGTTGGAAGCATCAATATCAAATCTACAAGAAAGATTAGAATCATATGGTTGCAGCATTGGAGCAATAATGGGTGCCTCCTTCAACTTATCAAAGGCCTTTTTCTACTCAAGTTTCCATTTAAATGGAGCACCCTTCAATAAGCTTGTTAGTGACGTAGCAATGTGTGCAAATTGTTGAATAAAATGGCAATAATATCCAATAAGGCCTATGAATGAATGGACTTCAGAAGCATCTTTAGGGGTTGGCCAATTCTTTATCACTTTCACCTTATCTTGCTCCATGTACATGCCCCCAAAAAGTGACCTTTGACTTCCAAAGTTCACACTTTGATTACTTATAATAAAAGTAAGTATCTTATAGCTAATGCAACACTTTCTATAGATGTTACTCATACTCTGCAAAGATTTTATTATAAACTAAGATATCATTGATGAAAACAACCACATACTTATTCAAAAGATCTCAAAACAATTTGTTCATGTGATCAATAAAAGAAGCTAGAGCACTTGAAAGACCAAAAGGTAAAATAAGCCATTCAAAATGTCCATAATGCATATGAAATGCCAACTTTTTTATATCTTTTTTTGCAATAGGTATTTGCCAATAGTTCCTTTGAAGTTCCAATTTGCTAAAGATGATTGTACTTTGAAGTTAGTCAAGAAGACCATCTATGCATAAAAGTAAATATGCATTCTTAATAGTCTATTATTGAGGCCTTGATAATTGATGCAAAGCAAAAGTCCACCATCTTTTGTAGATGTAAAGAATATAGGTGCTCCTCATGGCAATATGCTTTCTCAAATGAGGTCTTTTTCTAAGAGTTCGTCCAATATCTTTTACAGCTTTTTAAGTTTATTTGGTATTAGGTGATAAATTGACTGATTTACCAATTTGGATCTAAACAATAGTTTTATTTGGAAGGAGGCACCTTGATTGGATAGCACTCCATTATGTAAGTTGATTGGAAAGACATCTCAATAGTGACATATGAATTATTTTGCTTGTTTTATTCTTTCAATTATCTTTCTTATTATTAAGGCAAATTTTGGAACCACCACATATATTGGTTGCTTATCTTATATTTATTTCTTTATAAATGTCATCCCTACAAATAAGCCTTTAGCTGTATATCAATTTGCTACCTCATTCAATATGGAGGCACAAAGTGTCACCTTTTATCCACCATCTTTGAAAGAGATTATTCTTGCTAGCCAATCAACTTCTTTATTTTTTGCCTCTATCCATGGCATACCAAAGATAACAACATATATGAACTTTGTTACTCTAAACTTCTCCCTCAATGCATAGGTATCACTCAATCTTAAGATTTCTTCTTCACATGTTTTACTCAATACATTCTCTCAATCATCTGCTAGGTATATACTTCTTCTTTTAATTACCTTGGTTTTAATCTCAAGTCAATTGACAATTCCAATTGAGATGCAATTTTTTGTAAAGCCATAATCTACATGCACTCAACATGGATGTCCTCTTATTTGATTTGTTAGACAAACTAGTTGATCCTTCTGATAGTTGTTTAAGGCCATGT